ATGAAGGAAAAATAATTATATAAAAGTAGAAATAAGTATTTACATATTTTTACAAAGAAATTTAGAAACCTAACCATATATGGAATTGTAAGTCCTTATACTAGGAAGACAATACGGTATTTACAGATGTGGGTCTGGTTTATTTCACTAATAAGTATATCTTCAAGTGGCATCAAATTTTCAAAATACTTATTCTTGAAGGAATCCACCAGAAGGATAAGAAGAGCTCTGGGCTTGTCATGGGGATGGTGACTTTCAGTCCTATCACTGTGTCCCTGGACAAATCACTTTACCTATTGGTGCCTTAATTTTCTTAGTAGTGAAATCACCACTAGTTGGTTTGGATAATTATTATAAATCTGTGACTTTATGCCTTCTATATATGCTTTATTAAAAACCACCAACGTCCTGGAAATTATTGATCTGAAGCCCGCGTATTAACGTTGCATACCTTCTACCTCAATGAACTTGAGAATTCTGGTTCATTAGATCCATTCAAGAAGGAAGCAAGAAGAGTCAGAGAAAACAAAGTTTCATGAAAGTGTATTTTACAGACAATTTAACACAATGAAATCATACTTTCGCTTGGAAATACTCAGAGAGGACTTTCAGAAACCCATCCACCAAAACCCAGACTCCTTGGTTTACCTTCCGAAGTGTGTTGTCGCTTCTCCACGGGATGGGATATATTTAAAGATTCTTTCTCTGTGATGAATCCAGGCAAATGAACTGAGCATCTCAGAAGGAGGTAGCTGTTCAGGTAAACAAAGAAAAAGTTGAGGCTTTTCTTGTTATCTTTTAAATACATGTCAGTTCCATGGCTACGCCTTGTTTTCCATGTCTAATTGTTCCCTGAATGTTGGAGCCTGCTGCCCAAATTCCCCACTTCCGGGCTTCATGCTTATAGGTCCAGGAAGCTAAGTCTTTAGATGTATTTTTCCTAGTTCTAGGATAAAATCCAGGGCCTGTCATGCATTAGGCAGGTATGCTACCACTAGGCTACAGCCCCAGCCCCTACGCAGACCTTGACCTAGTTAGTTTCAAATGACTTCAAGATAGAACTTCCTTCTAGAGGAGACCATACACCATCTATAGTGTGCAATATACAGTGAGCTCCTGACGTCAGGGTAACAGCAAAATGCAGGTCTGACCATCCTACATCTTTGGCATGTTATGGCATGATGTGATGTGTCCTAGCTTTGACTTTTCTGCAATGGCCAGGGATGAAGCCATGTTAGAGCCATGTTGTATTTTCAGAGCTTTCTATATGTGATAGATGATACATTTTCATGAACTCATCTCAGTCTAGCCAAATCTGTGTAGCACAGGTGAGAGAAAAACATACCTCCCACTACAAGGTCCTGCTAAAAATTTCCTGTACAGGTCTTAGAGGGTCCAGCCAAGACTTTCCCACTCTCCCTCACAGCAGTTCTGCTTATGGAACTTGCTTATCACAGCCCAAGGTATAAAAATAAAAGTAAACCTATGTTCAGGGCTTTTTTGCAGGGAGATATGAGTTCCCTGCAAAGCCATTGGCTGTCAAGCCACGTTCTCCTATGCTATGCCAGAGGGCTTTGTGCAGGAATCCCGCTTTCTCGCTACACAGGTAGAAGTCTCACTGTTAAGAATTAGCAAATTGGCTTGAGAAATGGAAGTTGGGAGACACAAAGTCCAGGGGAAAGCTGAAAACACCAGCAGTGTCTCATCAGTCAGTGCAGAGACTCCTAGCGCTTTTAACAATACTGAGGGTGCAACAGAGACTGTCCAGTGAAGATAAGGTGCATGACAGGCATGGACAGGGCTGTACATACGCACACATATATGCTTGCATGTGCAAGGAGTTCACAGTTTGTAAAGGAGATCAACCCCAGATAGGGTTGCCTTCCAGAATAAAAATGCTGCATGCTGCCCAGACAGCATTTTCTGATGAAGGGGACCCACATATTTAGTTACAGAGTGACCAATCTATTTGTTTAAGGTAACTATAGCTCTCAAACTGGGCCATAACCTCCCAGATGTCTCCATTATGTCAAATACCTTCTTCTCGGAGGCCAATCCAGTTTCTTCTTAGCTTTCTGTTTTCACTCCTCTCCCGTGGGCCTGTCAGTCATTCACTGCCGGGCAAGGCATTCCTCTCCTGGTCACAGGTGTGGGGGTGCACATCTGTAACCTCACAACTCTGGGCAACTAAGGCAGCAGGATCATGAATTTGGGGTGAACCTGGGCTACGTAACAAGTTCTAAGCTAGCCTAGAACATAACAAGACCTGGTCTCTTACACATAGAAGAAACAAAACAAAATGCCTGGAGTAGTTTGTATATTTTTTCCCCCTTGAAAGAACAGATGAGGCTCTGGTGTCTTTCCCAGGTATTTACTTAGTGGGACAATAGGTAAGATGTCTAGTGGCTTCTGAGGTTGGTATAACGTAAGATAAACCTACTATCAGTGAGTTTACCTAATCAGCCACAGCACATTGGCACTGAGGGGCTGGGCTTTGTCAGAGGCTGCCTGGGAACCAGCCTAGCGGGATGGGATGTGGGAAATTCCTAAGAACCACCACGGCCCTTCCAGCTCTTAATGACAGTGTCCCCCCTTTTCAGTCAAGGCCTATTTTCTCCCTCTTGTCAGCATCTTGTCTCTCCTTCTTTCATCTTCATTTCCTCTTAAATATTTATTGGGCACTTAGTATATGCTTCCTATGTTTTCTTCCTTCTATTTCCCTCTCTTTCCAATTAGCTTACAAATTATGAATTTTAATGAGTTTTCTTCAAAGGGAAAAAAGATGTCATATCTGTTACCTACCTTGACAAAGTAATGCAGAAATAAGGTTGGGAAAAGCAAGTGATCTGAGAGCTCAGCCAAGGCAACGTGACTCAAAATAAATTCTGAGATGGTTGGAATAAAAATGAGGTCATAAGCCAGTCATTCCAGGAGTCACAAACAAACACAGGAGTTTTAAAAAGTCTTGACTTATTATTTATTTTCCCTGAGGCGTGATGAAGGATGCTTTATGGAAGGTATAATTTCAATAAAACGCTCCATTTCTCTAAAAAGCACCCTCCCTTCCCTCCAATAGGACACAGCGCAGCTAGTAGAACTGCAAGGAGCACTGGATTATTAAGACCCAACAAGCCAGGTGCTAGTCTAGCTTGGTATTCTTTGGCTGTGTGACCTTAAGGAAGTCACTCTTCATTCAGCCTACTTATCT